AAGATTTAATTGACTATTGTTCGAAGTACTTTGGATTGGAAGGATAGGATATGTTTGATGTTAGAAAATTTACCTGTTCCCCACAGTTCAAGTCCGTAAGTCCAAGTAGGTTTCAGTATTGTCTTGTACATAAGTATTTTATTTTCAATAGAGAGAATCCAAGATACCGAACTGTGTCTGATACGGGGAGAGGTACAGAGTTGAAGAGGATAGGTAGACAGGATCTGCGTCGGAGAATAAAGGTGACATGCTTGCATTTGGATTCGTTGATTTTGATGCACCACTGCTCAGTTACGGAGATATGTCTTTGCAGGTTCAGGATCTGTGTGGGATGACAGGATGGCGGTGTCGTCAGCGAATGTTGCTAGAAGGGTATCGGGATTGGTTGGAATGTCGGTGGTGAAAAGGATGTAGAGAACTGGGCCCAAGACATTGCCTCATTTACAATTAGTGTAACAACTTTTGACCTGTCTATAACAGACAATGAAAATCTCTTGATTTCGTTTTAATAAACTTTGCAATAGAAAATAATAGTTTAGTAACTAATAGTCGTACAATCCATAATCTACGGATCGAACAATCCATAATCAACGAATCGTACAACCCATAATCAATCGATGATGTAATAAACAGGACTTTTGTTATTTTAATAATCTATATGATTTGTTATATGTAATATTTTAGCTTTAGCTCATTTAAAAATGCAATTCAAAAATTCTATAATAGTCCAACATGGCCAGAAAATAATTTCTATTCAAAGTTGAGCAAAGTTGTGTGTTAAGTGCACCAGATTTTATTTCTTCTTTCACACAAGTACAATGAAATAGTTAAAAACAATGTCTGCCTTAATTAGGTGGATTTTAAATACTTTTTTCAAAAATAAAAATATTTCAAAAGTTTACATTCAGTTAGTAAATTTCATTTAATTTCCTGGAAAACATGTTATTTAAGTTAAATATTATTAGTTTTCAAAAATTATTATTTATAATTTTTTTGCTTCTCTCCGTTACCTTCTACAACTTTCTATATTAGATATTGTTTGTTTCTAAAATTCTCCGCTTTCCAAAGATATTTTATACGGGTACCTTCAGACAAGTATTTCCTGAGATTCATTTTCTACCTCGATAAGAATTTTTATGTTTCTCACCTTTATTCAATTATCAAATTCTTTCAAAAGTTATATTTAGTTATATAACCTTTAATAATGATGGATAGTTAATTATTTGAAATGAACTATATTAAAGCTACTTTAAGAGTAAGACGCATATGAACATTGGGCATTTAAGCTCTGTAAAATGACATCAACGGGGATTATACCTAAATTATATTAAAGATCACTTAATTATACAATGATACACTCAGTTTATTCAAAATCGTTGGAGCCGTTTTTGAGAAAATTGTAAAAATGTGTTTCAGCGTTGATTTCACACGTGGAGGAAAGGGCTCTGGACTCGGAGCTCCCTTGGCTGATTGTAAATATTGTAATTAAGTATGAATGTTTTTCTTTTTTATATATTTGTTTGTTTTACTTATGATTTAAATAATTTGCAAAACATTTCTGTATTTTTTTAAAATTTGATTTCAAGTTACATTTCTTTGGTTTTATAGTTTTTGCCTTTGTTATATAGATATATATATTTTTTTATTTATTTTTACTTTTATCGTATTTTATGTATAGTATGAATTTGCCTCACTCAGCTTCAGTACTCAGTGCCCTTACGTGTGGCAAAATATATTATTTTTCAACAAAAAGATTTTAAAAATAAATTGCAAATGAATTCTGTTGGAATATCACTAAGGGAAAATTTATCAAATTACTCACTAATTTATTTTTCCAAAATATTACATGATGATTTTTTGGAATAAACGGATGATAGATATCTAAATATTTAAATATAATATCACATCTAGAGTTATTATCTACAATAAATTTATTTTAGGTTATAAACGTATCTATGAAATATTTTTATATTTCACTTCTTCTTTCACACCACGGGCGGATCTACGAGGAGGGCTTATCAGATTCCATACCTCTAAATAATAATATATACAGAAAGAAGAGAAAAAAAAAGTATCACTAATAAGAAAATTTATAAAACAAATACTTAATAACTAATCTATTTACAAATCTATATAGAAATATTAAAAAAAACTTTTTCTGTAAATAAATAAAAAAGAGTCTCAGTAAAAAAAAAAATAAAATAAAATAATGAATTAAGAAATAAATTAATATCTTCCAGATCTTTTTTGATAGCGGTAGTGGGTGTGGTAATAGTCAGTGCTCCATATTATGTCACGAACAAGACCCTACACCATGACCTTAACATCCCATATGTCCATGACATCATCCCATCCAGATTTTCCAACTTTCACCAGAACCTCATTCATCATCCCAATCCTCTAGCGCAATCCCTATCCAGCTCCGAACATCCATACCATCCCCCTCGAAGGTTGAAACGGCAGTGGCCTCGAGATCTTTTGTAAATATGCCTTTGGAGTCCTGGCAATGGCCAGCTTCTCCACTCATGTCCTGAGCGTCTGTGGCTGTAGTGCCCTCTTTCAGTCTCCATTGGCTTCTAATACTAGTGATGCAGCTGGAAAAGTGGCGCTGGGATCTCCCGGAGTCTTGCTTCGCCTTCCACGTATGGGGGAAAAAGCCTGGCTCGGAGATTCTTGGGTGAATGTATATATTGTATACAGGTATGATTGTGTTTAGAAATTTTTATTTTATTTTATTTTTATTTAACTTCTTCACCAGTATTATTTATTTACTTATTATATTTATATTTATTTCTTTGTCATTTGTATATATTGTATGAATGAGAACTTGTAGCCCTAATGCTTATAGCCCTCCAGCAGTGGCTGATTGTATTATTATTCAATAAACAGATTAAAAAAAAAAAAAATGGGTGTGGTAGAGTGAAGATCTCTCAAAACCACCCTATATGTTTTGTCTTCTTTTAGTTGATAGCAGTGGAAGTCATGATTGAGTGCTGTCAACTGATTAATAAGTTTTTTATAATCATCTTTAGTATTGGTGTTAATCTTTATGTCGTTGACGCGAGAAAAACACCAGAAGTTGGTCGGTCCGATCAGATTAGCTATTTCTTGACCGAACTGAATGAAATAGTCAATCTTGCTTACATTACATGGGTGGTGGTTCTGGTTCAGTGAAAGTCTAAGTAATTTCTATATTTTTATTATTGGCGACAACAGAATTGTTGCTGAATATGTTAGTAGTTGATTTAGTGTCAAGTTTCATAGCTGAATTATTACAATTGCTAGTCATTTTATTATATTGTATTTAAGTTTTTTTGTGATGTTTCAGGGTCTGGGTGGGAAGATAGGATGGCGGTATCGTCAGTAAATGTTGCTAGAATGGTATTAGGACGGGTTGGGATGTCAGCTGTGAAAAGGATGTTGAGAATTGGGCTCAAGACACTGCGTTGTGGAACACCAGCCTCTACTGGATAAGAATTGGAGAATTCGGTGCCGCAGCGGACTTAATTTGAGGGAATGAAGGTAGTATTTCAGGACTCGGTACAAGGATTGGGGTAAGTGGGTTTTAAGCTCTAAAAACTGTTGAATTTTTGTTCTGTTTTCAAAAAGATTGGTTAAGAGTTTTTGAAACCGATTGACCCCCAAAATAAATCGGTTCACAAGGATAAAATCATAGTGGTACGAATGTATTCCTTCTTTTTTTATAATATAAAAGTGTACCCTCTTGAGGATGTCAAATTATTTGGATTAATAATTCTAGTATTCGGGAAATAGTTTGAACCGAAAACACCTAATTCACGCTTTTATGTATTTTATGGTGAATTAGACTTCTAATAAATAAGTTCCAAATTTGTTTTGATAAATTGGAACAAATTGAACCAATAACAATCAGGAAACTTTTATTGAAGACTTCAAATTGATATGAGGAAATTGCTTTTTTAAATGGAACAATAAATGTTACCAACAACTTGATGGTTTTCCTATGGGAGAAGCTTTATCAGGGGCTATTGTAGCAGAATAGTGATAAATAGACTTTTTAAAGACGTAATTAATTCAACTAACATAAGACCTAAGTTAATTATGAAATATGCGGATGTTTTGCATTTGATGTTGAAGGAGGATGAGATTGAAATGGTTTTCAAGGGTTTGAATGATTTTCATAGTAATGCCAAATCCACATACGAGCTTGAAACGGACCATAAGATTAGATTTTTGGACATATTTGTTATAAATACTAATAACTAACTAACTAACTTATAAAATAGTAGTTAACGAATTTTGGATTTTGCATCAAACCACCCTAACCATGTTTTGGTTAACATTTTAAACAATTGTATTTTTAAAGTCATAAGCCTAATGATTTAAAATATTTAAACTCTGTGAAGTGAATCAATTTTGCTATTTCTGAAAGTAATTTGTTTCCCGCATTTTTAATCAAAAGATTTCTACAGCTACGATGGTGTTTTCAACTGTCATAGCGAAACGTGAAATTGTGGTAGCAACTATATGTTTTTTTCCTATACTTATATTAAGGGTCTCTCTGTTCAAGTAAGAGGAATTTGATGTTTGTGACATTAAATTGGCTAGTAGAATTGGCAACAGGATAAGTAGGTTTTATACCCTTCTTAAAATTTTGGTTTAGCTCTATTGTCGCTGTTACTGAAGTTAGACAGTTTGTGAAATGTCTAAGCAGACCTTGACTTAGCCCCACCTTCATCCACCAAACATATCAGTTTTTATTCTTTCTATTATCAGTAAGAAGTGCATGAGTTCTTATCAGTAAGCCTTTTATAGCGACTTAAAATAAATATCTTTTGAACCGAAGATACGTATATATAGAGTACTGGTTTCCACCAAAAAGAGCAAAATACATTCGTAATTAAGAAAACAAATTTTCAATCTTCGATAAAAATAAATCTTCAATTTATCTGAAGGTGATTAAGTTATCATCTTTTTAAGAAGTATATATAAAAGAGAATCCTCCTTACAAAATTACAGTCATGTTTATTTCTCTGTTACTGATCGCTTTATGCGGCTGCAATTCCGTGCACGCCCTATCCTTGGATCCTACTGGTCATGATGGACTTGCAGGTGATATAAATATAAGTCCAGATGTCAGGTCGGAGAAGCAATCGCTTGCTGAGAGCGGTAAAAGAATGTTTTTGTTTCACTTTATTAGGTTTATTTAAACATGTGTTTTCTTTTTGATATTAATATCCACACATATTATTTCACTAACAAGGGGAGGTTACGGACATGGAGTCACCGATTTCAACGAAACTTTTTTTGGTGATACTGCGTCTGATATATAATAATAATGATATATATATATATATATATATATATATATATATATATATATATATATATATATATATATATATATATATATATATATATATATATAATAATAACTGTCGGACATAGGTCTAATATTTTTCGACCTAGTATCACCAAAAAAAATAGGTGACCCCACGTCCATAACGTCCCCTTGTAAGGCTTGATGTCGATTTTGTACCAAACATCAGCTCCTTTAATGCTCAAATACCATGAATGGAGTGAATCATTCTTATATTAATTCAGCATTTAGTATTCCTGAATCTAACGATTCCAGTTAAAAAAACAACAAAAAAACTTGAGCTTTGATAGTCACTTTTCTTAATATAATGCTAGTTTTCTTTATTTAATTTTAAATTTTTGCTTCCTCACTACCGAAGGTAGGGAAGTATTGTATTCGTGGGAGAGGTTAAAAAAGTTATTGTGTTCAAAATCGAAAATGTCCACTTCACTTTTAGGTTTCAGGCATAAAAGATCAAATTTGGTTCAGTGTATGTTTGCCTGTCTATCAGTCTGCCTGTCTGTAGTCGAATTGATGTAACGTTCATATCCCTACTACCATTTATCCAATTTTTATGAACATTTTCAAAGATTGCGCTGATTGGTGTCTACATGGTCCCTTATCAATTTTATCAAGTTCCATCCAGCAGTTAACCTTACCCTCGCAAAAAGCATTTTTGTAGATATGTCAATATTTTAGAAATGGCCTATTCGATTTGGCTCAAAATTGGATAAAAGGAAGGTATTGGTAAAAAAATTAATGTAGTATCAATTTTATTGAATTCTGTCTTCTACTTTTTCTTATATATGAGTAAACGTCTTTTCTTGATGCTTCAATATCTCAAAAACTGCAAGTTCGATTTGGGTCGAATTTCCAGGGAAGAGGTGGGTAAACAGATATTCAAATACGTATGAATTTTTTATCAAATTATATCCACCAATCAAAAAAAAAATACCTCCGCTTTAAGATCAGGAAATGTTTGACAAACTCATAGTTTGAAAACTGCCCATTCGATTTGACCCAAGCTTGAAGGAAATTTGGAGAATAGTATAGAAATTACCTAACATTAATTTTATTCTGTTGCATTTATTAATTTAAATTAATATAAATAATTGTTAACAATATGATGACTGAAAATGTGAAAGGCATTGATCATATGGAGCGGAAGTTGAGTTAATACAATTTCTTATAGGGTTATAAAATTTTAGGTTTTATTTAAAATGTTAATATTTTATTCATTGGATATTATATATGCATTATTATTTATGCAATGCAAGGTTTTGTTGGTTACATAGAACGGAGCATCGACTATTGTTCGGAGGACTTTAGATTGAAAGGATTGGATGCGTTTGATGTTAGAAAATTTTGCTGTTCCTTAAAGTTCAAGTCCGTAGGTCCAAATAGGTTTCAGGATTGTCTTGTAGATCAGTAATTTGTTGTCAATTGAAAGTTGAGATTTTCTATTCAGTAGTCTGTATAGTTGGCCGTATCGTCAATTAAGTTCTTGTCTTTTGAGTTTAGTATGTGGGTTCCACGTTAGTCTTCGCTCTAAGGTAAAGCCAAGATACCGAACTGTGTTTTAAAAAGGAAGCTGGATGGAATTAAATTGGACTGATGGACAGAAACTGCGCATGAGTGTGAAGGTAATGTGTTTAGATTTGGATTCTTTTAGTTTGATGCGCCATTTATTACACCAGTGTTCAATTAGAGAGAGGTGCCTTTGCAGATTTAAAGATGCTATTTCTGGATGTGGGTTGGGTGATAGGATGGCGGTGTCATCAGCAAATCTTGCCACAAAGTTATTGGCATGGACAGGGATATCAGCGGTAAAAAAGATATAAAGGCCGGGGCCCAATACGCTACCTTGAGGAACACCGGCTTCAACTGGGTAGGAATTGGAAAATTCTGTACCACAGCGAACTCGAAAGGATCGATGAGAGATGTAGGAGCGGAGGATTAGGTATAAGGACTGCGGAAGATTGGTTTTCAGCTTGGAAAGAAGCCCGGGGTGCCATATCCGGTCGAAAGCTTGATCTGTGTCAGAAATGGATTCGAGCAATATTGCTTGCTTTCCGGTGCTGCGGAAATATGATCGACCATTCAGAGTCCTTACTGTGCTGTGGAGTGTTGTGAACGATATTCGAACTGATGGGAAGCAAGATTTGGAATTCTATAAAGGCTAGGATTCGTTTCAGGAGGATCTTTTCAAAGATTTTTGAGAGAATTGGAAGAAGGCTAATTGGTCTGTAGGACTTCAAGGTGTTGGGATTTTTGCCTGGTTTCGGAAACAGGATAATAGTGAAATGTTTCCACAAAAGAGGAAAGGGAATGGTTCTTATATAAGTAGGTGAGAAATATAAATGCTTTAGGAGGAACTTGTCGAAGGGTTTGAGAGGTGAGGAGGTCGTATCCAGGAGATTTGCGGAGAGGAAGTATTTGTAAGTGATGTAAGTGATGTTTGACCTCAGAAGAATTAACTGCTTTAGGGGGCAAGGAGAGTGGAATAGGTGATGTAAGGAATTATTCTACTGTTGTGATATGGTTACGGTTGGATTCCGGATGAGAGGTGAATGTTCTGGAGAGGTGTCTGGCGAATTCCTCAGCTTTATCTTCATCAGACGCTGCTCAAGAGCCCAGGATCGCATCGACGGAGGGGATGGGAAATATGATGGGATTTTAGGATTTTGTTGGTAATCTTCCATAGAGAATTGTCATGATCAGAGAGAGAAGTAAGGTAGGAATTGAAGGGTTGAGATTTGAAGGTGGGCAATTCCTGCTTTAATCGTTTACTGAAATACGAGCGGAGATCGGTGTGGTGTCTTGAACGTTGCCATAATATTCTGGCACGACGTTTGATGTGAATTAGGTCTAGCAGGTATTGAGGTAAATTATTTTTCTTAGGAATTTTTGAGGAGAGATTTGGGGAGGAAGCAGTCCAGATTGCTTGCTGTGGATAGTGGTGGTAAAGGAATGTATGGTATTATCGAGGTCTTCTGGGTTTTTCAGGGTTATTCTGAAGTCAATTTTATCGGAAAGGATTTGATAAAAGAGTTTCCATTTAATTGGGCCTCTGATGAAGGTCGGGGAAAGGGGCTTAGGAATAGGAGCCATTGATAATTGAAGTATTAATGGACTATGATTTGAAGAAAGCTCGTCATGACGGGTAAGGGAATGATTGAGGGAATCTTAACCACTGCGGATGAAAAAATCAAGGATATCAGGATTGCTGTTAGGATCAGTGGGCCAGTAGGTTGGTGAGTTGGGTGGAAGGAGACTGAAACGTTGGGAATTGAGTGCAGACAAAAATGTTCTGCCACGATAATTCATGGTTCTTGAACTCCATTCTTGATGCTTGGCATTTAAGTCTGCACCCAGGATGAAATTTTGACCTAAGGAGTTGACGAGGGAACTTAACTGGACTTTGGATATGGATCTGTTAAGTGGGCAATATGATGATACAAGGGTGACCGGAAAGGAGAAGGTTTTGATTATAATAGCGGTTGACTGTAGAAAATCTTGAGTAGGTAATGGGAGAGGGATTGGTGTACGATGACAGCTGTACCGGCATGTGCTCTGCCGTCAGGATGGTCAGTACGGTATGTTATGTGCTGTGGAATTTTTAAATGCTGTTTTATAATGAGAAAAATTAGAAATACTGTTGTGATTTTCATTTCTTTCATCAATTCCTATAAGAAAAACAACTAAAATCATTTTTCTGTTCTCTAAATGTTTATAATAAAAAAACTGATATCATCAACTGGTAGTATAAACAATTGAAATAAATTATATTAAATTTATACGGATAATAGTAACATTCGTTAGTTTTCTTACAAAATTGTTGTTAATAATTTAACCAAATCTTGGATAAATATGAAACTGGCTGTGCCAAAGAATGGTTTCAGTTTCCCACGTTACGGCGAGTGGTGGGGGCAGATCTAAAAGATAAAAGATAACACTTAAGCCTCGAGAGCTCCTCGTTTCCTCGGCCATATTCATTTGGCAGTCACCCTGATCGTTCCACTCCAGCACTAGAAGAAGTCACGGCAGATGCTCCGGAAGGCCCTCCAGATAACCAAAAGTTATAAGCTGGCGTAAAGGCGGTAAGCTATTTTTTGCACAATCATTATAACCTACCGATCCAATAAGATACAATCCACTGCTTAAAATTAGAATGTTACCCAAATTTTAGAATGTTGCTTATTGAAACTCCAGAGAGTTATTTGCCATAATTAGAAAAGTTGCTTAAACAGAAATCTTAACCCTAAATAAACACATTGAAATTAATTATTTTTCAATTATCTTCCATTATGTTAATTGAACAATATTTTTTTCTATTTATTTATTGAGTATTACAACGATCTGTCACATGAACATTAGTTATAGTGAGGTAGGATAACATTCACATGAACAACATTTAGTAAAATAATGGTAACATTCATAATTTTTCGGACATAGCATGTTTGGAAGAAAAATGTATAATCTCTAGTCAACTCCTTTAGAACTCAAAATAAAACATGGACTGATAGCTAGCACCACAATCAGATTTTTTGAAACCATTTTCCGTCATATTAAATGAACAGTATTGTAAGAAAACCAGGTAACATTCGTAACAATGTTTTTATCCCAATTTTGGAGACAAGACAATTTTTTTATTTTACAATCAAAGTATATGAGACAAATAAAAAAGCTATCGTTAATTCGAAAAAAACATTTTATAACAGTAAAACGCCACATGGTTAAGAATTAATGGATACAGATTATATTATATGATAACAAAGCATGAACAACTTCGCATCTTCTCTTAGAAACA